TTGGATGAGCTGGTGGTCTCCCTGATGTGTCTGTCGATTCCCAATGGGGACTCAGAAATGGCGTCTGGTGCGAGTCGCAATTCCTCTGCTCTGAAGCCGGCCTTGCGTATCTTGGAGTGTTACGCGGGGTGCGAAAGTGGTCGGGATGGTCCGCTCTTGGATGCTCTCGAACTCGGTGGCTAACATTGTGAGCTGTGGTAAGCTTTGTAGTTCGTGTCGCCACACGTACATCTGGTATGCTGGCAGGGCGTTATCGTAGATCCTTGGCTGCGTCGTACCTGGCGTGGTGCATGAGTAAACGTATCTCGAGGTAATCCTTGAACAATTCTCCTACCGCTTGCTTGCGGGCCCGGATTCGGTCTTCCAATTGTTCAAAATACCGTGGCGACAAGAAGAAAGTCAAGAATTCTTGGCGGAAATATGCCCATGAGCTGCCTTGTTGGCAGGTGCGGTACCAGCGGCTGGCCCGATCGGTGAGAAGCTCTGTCATGGCCCGAGGTAGCTGATTTGTGTCCACCCCATATGAGAGAGCTCGTTCTTCGAGTAGTTCCAGAAATACAAGTGGATCGTCCTGTCCGTCGAACCTAATTCCCCATTTCCGAATCTGTTCCGCGACGTGGGCGTTGGAAGCGTCCATGGCTGGCACGATCCTCTGTGTGGGCGAGCGACTGGTCTCCGTAACTGGAGGTCTGGGCAAATCGGCGGGCGTTACGATGCGTGGTGGGCAGGGTGTGCTGTATTCGGCCGCGGTGGGGACTTGTAACCCGGCTTTTGGGTCGGTTTTCCGCTGGTCAGATGGCCCAGGATTGGTGAGCATGGGCGACTTGGAGCGTCCTGCTGGTCTGGCGTATTGTCGTTCGAGGTCTGCCAGTCGAACCCAGGCATCCTGCGAGAGAGTTCCAGCGACTAGTGCGGGGAAACTCTTTCGTCGTTCCTCGACTGTTCCGTCGTTTCCAAATCCGAATTCCTCGGCCAGGACTTCCAGCTCATCCCGCCGGAGTTTGTAGATCCAGCCGGTGGTGATTCCTGGACTGGTATGGAGTCCCTCCGGGTAAAATTCGTCGGGTTGACCGGCTTCGTGGGCTTCCATGGTGTGTTTCTGTGGTTAGTAGCACTGACTTACGTGTTGTTTGTGGTATTTCTGCTTGCGACCGGATGTTGCGAGGGTGCCGGTTTTTAGTGTTGGACGAGTATTGGTCCTTGCTAGCCTAGTTTTCTTTCAGTGGACGTGTTTCTTTACTCCACAAAGCTCCGTATTAAGGTGTTAGTCTCCTTAAGGTCACCAAAAAGTCCCTGCTCGGGCGCCACTTGCGAGGTCCTATTTCAGGCTGAGGTAAGCATCAGTCTGTCCAGGGTCCGCTACAAGAAAATTTGTAGTTTGTAGGTGACTTCAGGTGTCGGGCTGGCTGGCAAAAGAATGTAGTAGGCAGCGAGAAATGATAAGGCGACGGTTTTGTTTGTTGTTTCTTAGGTTTTATTCTGTATTCTGTTTTCTTCATTCACTTAAATTCTGCTACTTCAACTCGTATCGAATGGTGCGCTGATGGACTGCGTAGTGCAGTGTCTTGGGTGTGTGACTGAGGTACTGCCTAGTGCAGTGTCTTGGGTGTGTGACGGAGGGACTGCGTAGTACAGTGTCTTGGGTGTGTGACTGAGGGACTGCCTTGTGCAGTGTCTTGTGTTTGGGCTGATGGACTGCCTGCTCCTTCGGCCGATCTTTGCCCTTTTATGCAGCTGGCGATCGCACCTGAGACCCGGAAATAATTAATTCTTGCTGACTTAAGGTTATTGGATAACAATAATTGTGGAAGCTTGGTGCTTCGTTGACAATTGTTAGTGGGTCAGGGTGGTTTTGCTGAGGCTGCACCCCGGAAGGTGCGGGCTGCAGTTGGGAAAAGTGATATCTGAATTTGGGTCGGTAGGTCGATAATTTTATGCTAGCTTGACTTATTGTGAAATAACGCCAATGATATTTCCTATGTAGGCCGTCGATTGCGAAATGTCCCAAGAGGTGGGGTGTTTTAAATTATTGTGTGGACAAGAATGTGTAGAGTTGTTGGTCGAGAGTTCTTAATTAATTGTGTGCTTAAGACTATTTTATTTCCGGGGTGCTGACACACCGCTATTTGTGGAGAACCGTGGCTAGAGCCATGGTTCGCTAGCTCTGTGTATATCAGTTAGATTATTGTCTCCAGCCAGCGTGGATGCGCTGACCCTTCGCCGTTTGTGACGAGCCATGGCTAGAACCATGGTTCGTTACAATAACCAAATAATCTAAGCAGCTTGAGGTGTGACGAGAATCCCTCGATGACATCTACCAAATCCGAAATTTCCACCGCAGCGGTCAGCCCGACCGCATTCGTCCTCTTCTCCAGCTCGACATCTTCTGTAGGCTCGAAATGAGGGTTTTTTGGCCAGGTCTCTTCTTCATCCTTCAAAAATGATGGTCCTTCAAACCAGATTGACTGGACGATTTCTTTGACGTCACAACCTCTTGACACAATATCTGTAGGGTTTTGTTTTGCAGGGACATGCCGCCACGTAGCTTCATCTGACCACTCCTGAATCTCAGCCACCCTATTCGAAACGAACGTCGACAACGAAGATGGATGCGACCGAATCCAGTGAAGAGTTACTTCAGAGTCTGACCAATAAACAGCTCGTTCGATAGGGACCTTTAATAGGGGCTTGATTCTGTGACAGAGATCCGCGAGAAGGTGAGCGGCACATAACTCAAGCCGTGGGAGCGTTTTGGTTTTGAGCGGCGCTACTTTGGACTTTGAAGTCAACAATGATATTTTTAAACCTTCTGCAGTTCTGCTACGGACATAGACGCACGCTCCATAAGCTCTCATGGAGGCGTCAGCGAAGGCATGTATCTGGATCGGTAACATCGGATCGGAATACACAAACCGAGGTATGGATATCTGTTCCAATTGAGACAGTGTATTTTTCAACATATTCCATGCTGTTTCCAAATGCATCGGAATCGACTCATCCCAATCTAGTTTGTTAAGCCAAAGTTCCTGCAATAGGATCTTGCCCTTTATGACGATAGGACTTAACAATCCAAGGGGGTCGAACAGCTTCGATGTCACCGACAGTATGTTCCGTTTTGCCGCTCGGAGACCCATGACTTCATTGTCAATTTTAAACTGAAAGGCATCTTCCTTAGGCAACCATGAGATTCCTAACGGATTCTGAATCCGAGATCGTTATGGGTTTTGCTGTGCTCTCAGATGCGGTGATCTCAGTGAGTTCGAAAACCACTTCGCTAACTCAAACCCTGCGGTTTGAAGAACCTGAGATACATCGGACTTAATTGCCCTTAGCTCCTCTACGCATGCAGCACCAGTCAATATGTCATCAACATAAAAGTCGGACCCAATAACGTCAGCAGCTTTAGGGAATGATAGCTTCACAGACTCACTCAACCTTTTTAAACACCGGATAGCCAAAAAAGGGGCTGGTCCAGTCCCATAAGTCACGGTGTTAAGCTTGTATAATCTCAAGGACTCAGATGGGTCTCTTCTCCACACTATCATCTGAAACTGCCTATCCGCTTCATTCACCATCACTTGGCGATACATCTTTTTCACATCGGCAGTCAGGGCGAACCTGTGCAGACGAAAGCGGAGCAGTGTTAAGTATAATTCCTCTTGAATGGTCGGTCCGACCATCAGAATCTCATTCAAGGCCACCTGAGAGGACGTCTTCGACGACGCATCGAACACGACGCGAAGCTTGGTGGACGTACTTTGGGGCCGAAGGACACACTGATGTGGAATTACGTAGTGTGGAGTAGAAGGAACCGTATTGTCAGTCGGTGACATGTGACCTAAGGAGAGGTACTCTTTCATGAATTCCAAGTACATTTTCTTCAACTCAGGGTCATGAGACAATCTTCTTTCGAGCGACAAAAACCGCCGTTTATCCACCTCAAAGGAGTTGCCCAAACAATTTGGATCTGATTTAAACGGCAGCCTTACTTCAAACCGACCTGATGGCAATACGTGTGTAGTGAACCCATGCATGTACATATGTAACACTCTGTTATATATATAAATATGTCGTAGAGTCATTTTTACAATAATACTCTTCATTGTTTTCCTCATCCTCTCCTTCTGCCACCTCGTTGACAAAACGTTTCCTGGCGCGTGGCATGACTTCTCGCTTCACACTCCAAAAACTGACTCCCTACGCAGTTCTTTTCTAATTGCGATCTTCTCTTTTCCAGTCATCACTCACACATGCAAGAATTTTGCCAACACACACTCAAGCCTTGAGTGTACTTCTTTTTGCTCTCCTTCTTAATCTGCTTTACTGCAGATGTATTCTCTTTCATGCCCACGCCAGGCTACGTCAGACAAGAACTGCCAGTCCACGAAAGTAGCAGAGGAGCAAACAAACAGTACCGTGGTTAAAGACACACCAAACACGGAAGTTACATTTATAAACCATTTTCTTTATTTAAATTAAAAAGTTAATATGCGACACGGCCTTCCTGACCTACACACGTCCTCGTGTGTTTGCAAATACAAATTTCTTTTCTTTCCTTTAATCTTTGTTTTTCTTTCACATGTTTTCGAAATATAAATCATAAACAAATAATTACTCCTTTATACAGAAATGCTTTCCTCAAAGCTTACTTTCTTTTTAAATTGATTTAATTTTACCGCCCCAAGATACGGGTTACCACAAATTAATATAGCCAAAATTTATTGAACGTACAATAGCTCTCAGTTTATATCACAATAAACCGGCCAAACAGCATTATCTTCGTTACCATAGCTCACAGTTTACACCACATTAAACCGGCCAAACAGTCAAAGTTCACAGCTTAAATCAAATTTTACTGACCATCATACAACAATAGCACGCAGCTTAAATCACATTAAACTGGCCATCATACAACAATAGCACGCAGCTTAAATTACATTAAACTGGCCATCATATCTTCTTAACAACTCATTACTTTTACATCAGGTCAACATCATCACAGCCCTCAAAGGCCTCATTTTCATCATTTTGATCATCATACTCAGTAACATCCAAGCTCTCACCGGCTTTACCTTCGACATTTTCCTCATCACTTCCAATATCCAACTCTGTGGTAATCCCCTCCTTGGGCATACTTCGCAAAAATTCGTGCGAGTATTTATACGTTCGATTAGAATTTATCGACTTAAGCTTATACCGATCCCCATCCAAAACTTCGGTCACTAAAAACGGACCTCTATACTTAGGATCTAATTTGGTTTGGTGCCTTTCTTCATTCTTAAGCAGCACATAGTCTCCGACCTTGTGTTTTACAATTGCTGCCTTATTTTTATCAAATCTATTTTTTTCGTAATTGGCATTCTTTTCCATATTATACTTTGCCATTTCTCTAACTTTTTGAACTTCAACAGTATTTTCATTATCAGCAACAGGCGTTAGACCAAATGGCCTTGCTTCTTTTCCAATAAGTAATTCTAATGGACTAACTTTGGTCACTCTGTTGGACGTGCAATTCAGAGCCAATTGTACCTCTTGTAAAGCATCTTGCCAGGATCGCTGGCTCGTTTCAACAGCAGTTAGCATTGACTTTAGAGTACTCATTACTCGCTCCACCTGGCCGTTGGCTCGACTAGCCCCAGTTGCAATTAAATGCAAATCTATCTTTTGCGCAGAGCAGAAATCACGAAACACTGAACTAGAAAAACTACGACCCTGATCTGCGATCAAGCGAGAAGGGACACCAAACAACGATATTGATGCCTTCACAGCTTTAATACAGTTTTCACTATCCAGCCTTATCGTATCGCACAAGTGGACAAATTTGGTAAATCCGTCTATTTGGACAATAACATACTCCTTTTGGTCGTTTTTACCACTAAGCTTTCCAGTAATGTCGATATGGACAGTATGCCACGGAATATCAATCTTCTGGATGGGATGCAATTCGGCCTGTATTTTTCCAGATGGTGGTTTGGACAATCTGCAGGTAATGCAGTTATCTACAAATTTGCGGACATATTTAGACATTTTTTCAAACCAATAAAATTCATACATTTTCTCCAGTGTTTTCTCCAACCAAGATGCATAATTGCCTCGTGAACATTATTAACTACGGACCACCTAAACGGCTTTGGGATAACAGGCAGACAACGGGTTTTTCCATTTCTCTGAATTTTCCTATAGAGTGTTCCAGCTCGCAACTCATACGTCTTGGCCATATCCTCAGATAACTCATTGTCACGCAACTTGGTAACAATTGACGACGTTTCCTTATCTCTCTGCTGTTCAGCCAACAGCCAATTATCTGTGATCTCAGTTAAATTGATGTGATGTTCGACTGTACTAGGTAACACTACATGATTGTCTGGTAGTGGGTTTCGAGAAAGGAAATCTACATGAGCCATTCGCTCACCAGGTCTATATTCTATTTCGAATTCGAACGACTGCATATACGACCACCAACGATGTACTCTGGGAGTCAGTTCGATCTTGGTGCGGGAGGCCTTAAGCGAATTGCAATCTGTGAAAACTACAAATTTGCGGCCATGTATGTAATGGCGAAAATGTCTAATTGAATTGTAAACAGCGAGGGTCTCTAACTCATATGAATGGTATCGAGATTCAGCAGGTGATGTTCGTTTGCTGTAGTACTCGATTACCCCTAGGCTTATTGTCAATTTTGTGCAACAAAATTGCACCATAGCCATCTGCACTCGCATCAGTGTGCAGCTCTATGGGAAATTGCAGATCGAAGATAGTGAGAACAGGTTCATTGGTCAGAATAGAAATAACTTTCTGCCGTATTTGCTCGTGCTCTAGGTCCCAATGAAAAGAAACATTTTTCGAAGTCAAAGCATAAAGTGGTTTTAACATCTGCGAAAATTTAGGCACAAACTGCCGAAAATACGAAACCAATCCAATAAACTGCCTTAATTGGTGCACCGACTGCGGAGGAATCAAATTCACCAAGGCACGTATCTTTCGCGGATTTGGTCGGATTTCACCCTCTCTAACTTCGAATCCCAAATATTCAACGCTGGACTTAAGAAATGAACATTTTGCAACATTAAAAGAGAAGCCAGCTTTGGTAAGCGTTTGCAAAACTACTCGTAACCTATCCAGGGCTTCATTTTTATTGCCCGCGACTATCATAATGTCGTCCATATAAACAACGACATATGAATGAGTAAGTTCACCTAATGTCTTGTTAACGGCCCTTTGAAATACCGATGGGGCATTCTTAAGCCCCATAGGCATAGCCAAAAACTCGAATTGTCCTTCTGGTGTCACAAAAGCGGTGCGCTCGATTGAGTTGGGATGAATTGGAATTTGATGAAACCCACTTGCCATATCTATGCAGGTAAAATATTTAGCTCCACACAATCGGGAAATCTGATCAGAAATCAGTGGCAAAGGATATTTATCAGACACAGTGTTTGCGTTCAACTCTCTATAGTCTACACACAGGCGGTCCGAACCATTTTTCTTTCGGACAAGTATCATCGGGCTCGCAAACGGAGAACAACTAGGGCGTATAATATTTGCCTTTAACAATTCATCCACTATTCGTCTTACTTGTTCTTTTTCTTCAACACTCAACCTAAAGGGGCGTCTCTGTACTGTCTTGTTAGGATCAATCAGACGTATTTCCAATTGTCCAGTAGTCACGCGGCTCTGTGGAACTCCATTTATAAATGATTTAGAATAGTCTTTTAAAATTGTTATCAACTGATCTCTATCAGATCCTACCAAATCGGTATCAACGCTTGCCAGGTCAGGAGTGCTTTCGGGAACCAACACAGGATATATAGATTTTTCCTTAAATATAACAAGCGATTTAGAGGTAATTGTTACACCGATTCCCTGGCTCAAAATCTCTCGACCAATCATTACTTCGTAATTCATGTAGTTGTTTAGAACCACGTGAAACAGAATCTCAAAAGAATATTCGCTTATCATAACATTTGCAAGTATTTGTAAAGTGCTACATACTGTATTATTACCAATACCCCTTAGTACAACTACATTGTTTACTCTAGTTCCGGAAAGTCTCTGTGACGCAGCTTCCTTGATGAGCGAGCATTCGGCTCCGGAATCAAAACAAAATGGAAACGACTCACCAAATTGCATCAGCGTTCCCATGGGCTCGACGACAGTACACACGTTAACGTGCTTAACGTTAATGTTGTTGGAAGGTGTGCCACGCTCTGCGCAAACTGTAGATACATGCCCTACTTTTCCGCACTTGTAGCAGGTCAGAGCTGACCGATTTTCACCTCGCTCCGGAATTTTTTGCCTTTTTGCCAATTTAATTTCAATTGGTCCTTTTTTGTGCCAATTATATGTGTTTCGCTGTTTAACAATTGAGTTAATAATAACTTTATATTTCGAACTTTATATATTTCAGACGTGCGCAAGCAATTTGTTAGTGCTTTTATCCATTCCGCTTTGGATCATTGCTCTCTGCGCTCACTGTGCGTGCACTCCATCGCCTATCAACACACGCTCTGGAGAGCATAAGTGCAAGCTCTCTTGCTCTCACTCTCACTGGACTTCGCCTGAATCTGCATCTTCTTGAATTGCTCTCTCGGTGTCTCTGTTTCGTGAGCTTCACCGTTTGTTTTCGTCACTTCGCTGGATCGTCTGCCGCTGCTGCTGATCGTCGCTCGCTCTGCTGCCTGCACTCTTATATCGCTTGCGCTCCCACTTTGCGTTTTTCTTCGAGCACAGTGATTCAACTACTGTCAAAAATGGTTCTTGTCTGCAGTGCAAAGAAATGCGAATTTGGAGGCAACATAGTCGGCGATTCATTCCTCTGCTGTTGGCTGTGCGACAATGTTGCCCATATAAAATGTGCTGGTGGGGGTAATTTTGGACGTCTACACGATCTCATCTCAAAACGCATGGGTCTGACTTGGTCATGTTTGGCCTGCCGTGAGATTGAGGCCGAAATGCGCACTTTTATGAGACAGACTCGTACTGGTTTTCAGGATGTCCGGAAGCAATTTATCGCTCTCAACGACAAGTTCCTGTCCCTGGAAACACAATTCCTTGGCCTCAAACTCTTGAGTGAATCTCCTAGACGGAAAATCCCTCATACTGATAACAACAACCTCTTGCAACCTATTGGAGTTGGAACGCCTGCCTCTCATCTACATACATCGGAATTATTTGCTACTCCGAGCGGTCATGCCTCGCCGTTAGTCAATCCGCCTTCAGTCGCTCCGGTGTTTCTCACACCGAATAGCAATGAAGCAGTTACTACGTCCATCATTGTCGGCTCCGCTGTGATTGCTCCCAGTGTGGACGTGCTGACCGCTGATGATGTCCCCACCGTTCCTGTCACTGATCCTGTTCCTTCCGTTCCTACCGACGCTGCCATCGTTTCTGCCACGAGATCTCTTTTGGGAGTGGCTCCACCTTTTCTCTCTCGCTCGGGACTTCAACTAAGAGCAGTGGTACCTCGAAAGTCTATCTTTGTCTCCCGGCCCTGGTTGTTCAAAAAACTAAATAACCTTTTTATTATTCATTACCAGAACGTACGCAGTCTGTTAGGCAAATTGTGTCAAATACATACGACTAGTTCCTCTTTTGACTTTGACGCTGTCGCTTTAACTGAAACCTGGCTTAACTCCTCCGTCTATGATCATGAAATTTTCGTTCCAAAGTTTATCACATATAGATTGGACCGTCCATCTTTTGCTGGTGGGGTTCTGATTGCTGTGAAAACGGATTTCTCATCCGAGTTGTTCCCATTCAACAATATCTATGGCATTGAATTCATTGCAGTCAAAGTTTGTGTTGGATCGGTATCGATCTATTTGACTTGCTCTTACATTCCTCCCAAATCAGATGCTGAGGTTTACTCTTATCACCTTTCTGCAATTCAGACTATTGTATCTACTTTAGGTTGCAACGATCATATTATTGTCATGGGTGATTTTAACTTACCACTTCTTTCTTGGCTGCCTAGTGATGAGTCTAACCTGTTGCTACCAAATTACCACAACGATTTTATTGACGGGCTTACCGATGTCTCCCTTGTTCAAATTAATTCCATACGAAATAGTAGGGATAGACTACTTGACCTTATGTTTGTTTGTGATGCTGCTCTTGCTACGATCTCCAGAGTA